GCAAACCCTATGTCTAGCACAATCAGCATGAACAAATGATGCTGAAAATTAAATTTGTCCTAAATGCATATTTTCTTTATGTGTATTTCTAATTAAAGCCATATTTTTTTATAATTATGAAGTTTTTATCACTGGGCTCCTGGCAGCTGTTTGGATGGCTCGGGTTCAACAACATTATCTAATTTGATAGCTCCACAACCTTTTTTTTAAAGAAAAGACATTGAAAATACAAGCATGCTGAATTCGTAGTACTCTTTCAGCAAGAGTGATAATCTGCCTCCTGTCCACTCCACTGCATTTTTCCAGTTATATTGCAATCACACATTTCCAGGGTTAATTTTTAGGAAAATATATGTTTCCTTTAATATAAGGTGACGACTACAAATATAGTCCTTGAATTGCTAGTACCCTGATAAAATCTTATAGGGAATTAAATAACTATGGAAGGAACCCAAAGAGTTAAATTCACTAAAAACAGTAAAACAAAAAAGGGATTCTCTGTTTCAAAGATAATTTTGCCCAAGTCTCACCATAGTGTCTTCAGCCTAAAATTCCATGTCAATATGCATTGAAACAATTTTTTTTTTTTATGTAAATAGAAGCTGATCACAGATTGAAACAAGGAAAGGCCCTTATTCAAAACACAGATTTGAACTGGAGGTCTGGACCCAAACCTCATAAAACATGCATATTGAAAACCCTGGATCCAAATGGCCTTGGTTTTGGGAATTCCAAGCCTACATTTTCCTAATTTATTGAGGGATGTTGGGAAGTGAGAAAATGACTGATTATAGTTACACCTTTGTGCAGGGGTCCAGTCAGATTTAAACTCTCCTGAACACATGAGCAAAGTGCATTCAGGTAGCTTGTGTTTTTGAAGAATTACATATTTTGTTACCTTTTAAACCTTCAAATTTAACCTCAGATATATTTTTAGTTTAGCGCTAGAAATAGGGTCATAATCATAAAGCTTTTTTTCAAATGATATACAACCCACAGTAAAAATAAATAAATAAAACCACAACAACAGTGTGCAGATGACACCAAACTATGGGGTGAAGCAAACACACGGATGGGAAGAACCTGAATCCAGGCAGACCTGGACAGGTTAGAGAAGTGGCCAGAGAACAATAGGATGCAGTTCAACAAGGGCAAGCGCAAGGTGCTGCACATAGGGAGAGGGAATCACCAGCATACCTGTAGGTGGGTGGATGACCTTCTCAGCAGCACAGCAGCAGAAAGAGATCTTGGAGTTGTTGTCAACTCCAAGATGAATATGAGTCATCAATGTGACAATGTAATTAGCAGAGCTAACATCACTTTGTCATGCATTAGTAGGTGCATCACGAACAGGTCCAGGGAGGTGATGCTCCCTTTCTATATGCTGTACTGGTCAGGCCACAACTAGAGTACTGCATCCAATTCTGGGTGACACAATTCAAGGATGTGGACAACCTTGAGAGGGTCTAGAGGAGGATCATTCGTATGGTTAAAGGCTTGCAGGGAAGGCCTTATGAGGAAAGACTGAGGGACCTGGACCTTTTCAGCCTCCACAAGAGAAGGCTGAGGGGGGATCCTGTGGAAGTATACAAATTCACCAGGGGGGTGGAGGGGGAGGGCGCATCAGGGAATAGGAGATGCACTGTTTACCAGAGCACCCCTTGGAATAACCAGAAACAATGGCCACAACCTGATAGAGAGTAGATTTAGGTTGGACATCAGAAAGAACTTCACAGTTAGGGTCGCCAGAATCTGAAACAGGTTTCCAAAGGAGGTGGTGCTCTCCCCTACCTTGGGGGTCTTCGAGAGGAGACTGGACAAGCACCTGGCTGGGGTCATATGATCTCAGCACTTTTTCCTGCCGCTGGTAGGGAGTCAGACTTGATGATCCTGTGAGGTCCCTTCCAACCCTAGCATCTATGAATCTATGAACATTTAAACCCATTTTAATTTTTGTGAGCATCCACACTGCTGAAATTGCATGCTTTTCTTCCTTTCTGCTCACCTCATGGCTCTGTGGCTCTTAGGGGTGACTTGCTCCAGAGCTCAGGACTCCAGACTTCCAAGCTCCATGATCCTTGCATTGGAGATAGAGTTTGAAAGTCCCCTACCTCTTAGAATTTCTGAGCTCCTACCCTTGTCTGTCCTCCACTCTTATGGAGCAGACCAGATGGATATCTGGGCACTGCATCACTTAGCCATTGTGGCATTCCCAGGCAGTTTCATCCCTTTACTTTGTTGCAGCCAGACCAAAATAGATGATCCTTTGCAGAACACAGGCTAGCCTGGGATCATCCTCTCCTCTACCACCCAGCGACAGGTGGCTCTATGTGGAACCCTTAAGAGTACGATGCAGGATCCTCTTCTCTACAGCCCTTAAGTGTTCTGTGCATGCTCTGTGCACTACTGTATCATTCCTACTAGGCATATAGTCAGCCCCACATATGGGTCAGCTGTGATTTTTATGGCTCTTTTTGGGAGGGGAAAAAGGTTGCCTTTAGGTGGAATGAGATACTAGGTGCCAATCAGCTGTGATATTTTTTTCAGAGTCTTTTCCAATAAAGCACGCACTTAGTCCTGCTTGACCTCAAATTTCAAATTAGCTTAAGGCTTCCTCTGCATTTCTAGTTTTGTGTTTTTCATCCTTCAGAGTGTATTTTGGAGGAGGCTCATGCTATGGAGTTGCGGGATCCTCTGTGAACGATTAATCAGTTTCTCTCCTCCTGTGACAAACACTCTCAGCAGGTTGCTGCAAAAATCACTGCAGTTCTCAAGAAACTGCCTGGGACTGAATACCTGGGATATGGCTTTTAACACAAGCACAGTCCAGACAACACTAGTGCTCTTGGCAGTGATTTTATCTCACTCTTGCTAAGGGCTAAACACCCCATAAAAGGTGCTTGTTTGATGAATAAGTGGGGGGGTCTCAATAAAATAAATCAGTTTGTATCTGCTTTCCCTTAGATTATACAGTTTTAAAGCATTTTTTCCAATGAAGAAGGAGTTGACAATAATTTAAAAGGAAGAAAGGAGAGCAATGAAAAGTGTTTGAAATGTGGACAGGTTCTCTGTGCTTTGCCATCGGAAATGCTTTAAATTTGGATTTTTAATTGTCCTTACAAAACTACTATAGCCTTTTTTGATAATAGAGGTAAAGAGAATAGGAATCTGCATAAATGGATTTTCTCAAACTACAAAGTATCAAAGACCTCAATTTAAGCACAGACTAGGGGACAGAGGTTCATTAAGCACAACTAGGAGGAAAATAACATTTATTTCCAGTGGTTGTTGTGTTTCTGGCAAAATATTAAATGAGGTTGTAAGACATACGGTCAATGTTTAAAAGATTGTGACGTGTCCTAGTGACTGAATTTGGAAGTACAGAACTGTAGAAATCACAAATTGAATTAAAGATTGTGGAAGAAAAAAAGGTGTCACAGATTTTCCAAATTGGAAATCAAAATGCAAAAAAGAGATACATTAATAAAAATCACTGTTTAAGAAGTACTGTCTTTATCGTAGGTGAATCTGTAAACCTACTACTGAGCCTTGAATTTTGACTGTTCTTGAATACCAAAGTGAGCCAGATAATCATTTCAGCACTGCTCTGATGATAGCTTCTGCTTAATTCAAGCTTTCTTATTTTATTCTTATTTTTCCTATTTAAGAATATAAGAACTGGGTCAGACCACAAATCCATCAGGCCAGATCGTGTATCTCATAGAGACAGAGAGCAGATGCTAAGGAGGGGCTTTCCAGGCTGATCTTTCCTCTGCCTTCATTCTGTTACAGCTTCCAGCATTTAGAGGCCTGGGAAGTTCCGACTTGTAGGTTGTACCCCCTATTATGTTCAATATCTGCGACAGCACCTATCCCGCCTAAGTTTGTCCAATCCTCTTTTGAACCTTGTTTAAATGACAGGTCTCTACAACATCTTGTAGCAATTAGGTCCACAAGTCAATCACACACTGTAGGAAAATGAACTTATACAAAACAGTACACTTCCTGAACCTGAATTCAAACACCTGGGGAAAATATTTCTTAAATTTGTTCACTGCTCAATTTTTTTTGGCAGCTGTTACCTCTCAAGTTTTAATAATAATTTAAATATCCATCTTGTTAGCAGTTTTCTAGCTTATCGTTTAGGCAGAAACTTCCAGCTAAAGCAGTTATGTCCGGGGGGTAGATCTTGTATACAAGAGAAATAGAAGAGTCCTGCCAGGTTTACATCTAATCCATCCCCTATAATAGATGCAAAATTATTTCGTACAAAATATTTCATAGATTTTGTGTCACCTGATTTTGTATGATTCAGGAGGAGTACTATCCAGTGTTTCCACTGCCCAGTCAATCATACCATCAGGATGATTTTCCTGGCCTTTTAGCAGAATTTTTCGTTTCTCACAACCATTCCAGTAATCCCAATGATGCTCCACAACATCTTGACTTGTGGTTTAGGTGGATAGAAAGTAAAAAAAAATGGGATCAGTGTTGGGGCTGTATGTCAAGGGAAAGTTTTGTGTAACTAATGTCACATGCAAGAAGTAATAGATTGACCAGTTTCCTGGTGCTCTCATCTTAAACTTTTTCATTCACCAGCTATGATGTACACTTCTCTTCTTCTCTCAGTTCAGATACAAGTGTGTGTCCACTCTCAACTACTCTACTGATAGCTCCAGTTTTAGCATGGAATGAAATGTTGATGTCAGATGCATTGAATTTTTCCAGTGGTAATATAGAAAACAATGTAAGTGTTAAACAGCAATATAATCTACACTTACTGAGTTGAATTCTGTTCTCAGTTACACTAACGTAAGTTGGGAACAACTCTATTAACATTAATTCAGCTACATTCTGGTAAAACCACCATAGGTGAAGCTGCAGTAGGACCCAGAGTAATTACATTTGGAGTAGGAAACAGAAATAAATTAAAAGAAGAGAGGACAGACTGAGACTAAAATGACTTTTCCATATGAACCACTGACTATTATCTGTTACAGATCTTTTTAAGGAAGTGGCAGGGCCTTCAGAAATGTGTGACCAGAGGCAGCTTGGCCTCCTCCTTCATGATGCCATCCAGATCCCCCGGCAACTTGGAGAAGTAGCAGCTTTTGGTGGCAGTAATATTGAGCCCAGTGTTCGTAGCTGCTTTCAACAGGTAAGATCAACAATGGCCTTTCTCACTATATTGATGCGTATCTGTTTATTTTTCTGCCTTTTTAAAACATTTTTATACATTCAGAAATTGCATCAATAAATCATCTAAAACAGATCTCTCTCTCTCTCTCTCTCTCTCTCTCTCTCTCTCTTATGATCTACATAACACAGAGTTTGATTTCTTGCTTGTATATGATGTAGGGTGCTGTCTGTCATCAGTGGGAGCTGCAGCCACTCTTATCAGCTTGAAAATCCTACCACTTGTATTTGCGCTCTTAATTATGAGCTTTGGTCCCTAAATTTAGGCAATGGAGGTTTAAAAGTTTGGCCTTAGATTTTACCCTCCCCTGATCTTTTTTTATTTATTTACTTCACTTAGACCCAAAAAAAAAGCTGTGCTTTCTTCGTTAGATATATGTAAATAGCATTAAAGGGCATTTGCACACGTGCTCTAGGGGTGGAGGGGCTGCTTTAATTGGAGCGGCTTTGAGAGCCCCTCTGAAGTACCTGCAGTGTCTCATGTATCAGCATTCCAGTGCTTCAAAATGGCAGTGGGGGCTCTTTAACTAAAACTCATTGAACGAGCTTCAGTTAAAGTGCCCCGGCCACTATTTTGAAGTGCAGGGATGCTAATACATGAGATGTGGAGCCTGCTGGAGCATGCTAACTAGCACGTTCCAACACAGTTGATTAATCAAGTCTGCTCCCACGCTCTGTAATTGCAACATGTCAGAGCAACCTCCCCGCACATCTACAGGCACCCAATATACTGTGATATTACCTACATAGTGGCCAAGCTGGAAGGCCCAGGGCAGTCCTGAACTTTCCTTTTAAAGTGCACATAAAAGTAGAACAGATATTTAAAAGTGTGATTCTTGAGTTAAGTTTTAATCAGAAATGTACATATTCTGATAAACAGGCTGCTAAGGTTATGGTTAAAATGCAGCTTCTACAACTCACTTAACACTGTAGGAAAACATCAATGACTCGGATTGTATCTGAAAGTATTTTGAAACTTATATTTATGGCAGTCTTGGCAGCCCACAACCCTGTTAAAACTTTTTGTAGTAGTTAATTATCCTGATTTACATTTTCTAGGCAACCTTATAGTCTGAGAACAACATGATTTCCCTTGTTGCAACAAAAGTTGATCTCAGCAGTGCAGGGGAGTGTTGTTGATAGTAATTTTGACCCTGCACATCAGGAAATTACTTAGTGTTAGGTTTTTGACAAGGGAGCTGGCAGTTTCACAGTGTTTGTAACGTAGTCATTTACATGTCTGGAGTCTTTATGCAACAGGCAGATCATAGAACAAGGCTTTCTAGTTGCCTGCAGTTCAGCTTCTTGCTACATGCAGGGGGTTAATCAGGCTGCAGGGAATGTCTGCCTTTTTGGGGAATATTGGAGAAATGAGAATGGAAAAATGAGAATTTGAATGGAACACAACCAAGTTCACAAGTTGTAAAGGTTGCCCAAGGCCGTGTCTGTTCTATGGTGATAATTGTGTTGGTTACGTTTATTGTTTTTGTGAATGTGGCTGCCTCTGAGCAATGTCAGAAATTTTATAGGGATTTAAAAAGTCACCATGGTTTAAGATACTTAAGTGGTATGTTAGACATTTAATAGTATCGTGATTTTATTAAATCCTATGGAAGAGAATATTGGGGAGCTCCCCTAAGAGAAGCAACATCTCTCCTTTCACCTGTTTGAATAGCAGATTCCAGGACTGCCCCTCCACCCCCAGTGGTAGGTGTTTGTTTTATCCCTTTGTTATCAATTCTGAGTTTTGAGAGGTTTGTCAGGGCTAAACCGTTCTCAGAAGGTCGAAGTGGTAGAATTCCCCCTGTGTTTTTTGGATTTCATTTTGGAGTTGAGGCTGTTTTAGTCAAGGGCACAAATTATTTTCTAGATTAAGATGGAGTTCAAGATGTCAATTAAACAACACTGGATGTTTTCTAAGCTTTTTTATATCACAGTTTCAATGAATGAGGGATACTGTTAGTATGCCTGTCCCTGGCTGCAAGTGGCTCAGTTTGCATCTAGAAGAGGGCACTCAGCTGATGGAAAAGAGTTTTTGTGCCTCACTACTGGATTTGATGTGTTGTCCCTCAGAGGTCTGTCCTATCCTTGATTTGTCTTTGAAGCTGTTCAGATATATATAAAGGCCCCCTGGCAAGGTAATCTTTACAACACAGAGTAGGGCATCATTGTTAAGTTTGTACTGACATTACAGCTGTCTTCTCTGCTGGACCTTGCAAGTTCAGTTTGTGCTCTCTAAGAATGCTTACATACTTGCAGCATGATGTGTCAGAGCTTGTTCATTTTTAGCTGTGTGAAACGAAAACTCTCAGTGGAGGTTACAGCTCTTTCTTGATGTTTCTGCTTACTGGTAAAGAATTCAGGTGTCACTTCGATCACGCAGTATGGATTAAGAGTTATATTTTTAGGTCCTGTCTTCTTTGTCCTGCACTTATATCAGGACAACACCATGCATCCTTATGAACATGAAATATGATTAATGTAATTCCACTTTAACAAGGCTCCTCCATTGGTTGCAACCTATTCAGGATGCAGTGGCACGTTTGCTTGCCACTTAGAACAACTGTGATATTTTTAGCTGCCCTGTGTTCCTTGTATCAGCTGCCTGCTAAGTGGCAGATTTTCATTTTAGTGTTATTTTAATCTAATTTTTAAATTAGATTTAACATCTTAATAAAAGAATAACTACATTGGCTTTCTTTATTAAAGAAAGGATGCCCAGGATCCTCAGGCTTTATTAAATAACTTTTGCTTGAGGATTTCTCACTGAACTGACCCACCTTATATTAGTAGGCAAGTATACCTTTCCTGATGTGGAAATTTTGCTTCCTCCTAATGTTCTACTTCCTACTTCTGGTGTGCTTCTGTTTTAAACATATTTTTGTTACGGGTCATCATTTTTTGATATATTCTTTCCCCTCCTCAATGTTTTTCCCCTTCCTTTTTTCAGCTGGACTGCCTTAATTGTTCTTTCCTGTTTGAACTTTTATGAGGAACATTTTTATTACGTATTTTTCGATGTGTTGTGCAGTGACTTGACCTGGAAAAGGTCAGAGCTAATTTGTTGAGCTGAAGCTAAATTTTGGTTTAAAATGAAATAGAAAAAAAAAATCTGCATCTTTGAGGTTTTTACTGTTGTCTTTGGTTTCCTTCATCAGAATCACAATAAGCCGGAAATTGGCGTCAAGCAGTTTATAGATTGGATGCATTTGGAACCACAGTCTATGGTATGGCTACCAGTTCTACACCGCGTGGCAGCTGCAGAAACAGCAAAACACCAGGCCAAATGTAACATCTGTAAAGAATGCCCAATTGTTGGCTTTAGGTAAGAAGAGTCAAATTGTGTATAGGGTTTTATGTAATCCGATTTTTTTAAAAACAAAAACATATTCTCACCTCTTTGCTTTCTCCTCTGCAAATTGGTTTCCCTCTACAGTACAGTCAGAATTTGGATCTTATTCCTATGTCCTAAGTCTCTTGATTCAGATCATTTTCTCTCTCTTTGCAGTGGCATTGGTGAACTTCAGAAGATTCTATGACTGTCGGGCATACCAATAAAGTGGTTGTTAGGTGTCTTGCTAGTGAATGAAGTATGAATATGCTTTGTAGACACCAGCAATAAATAAGCTGCGCAATAAGAAAAATGTGTATATTCATATTTATGCTTTACACAGAATAAGTGGACTTAGGTGGATGTGGCCAGAAACTCTTGAGTCTGGACTTGGCAGGGGTGCTACAGCTGTGGGCAGTTTCATGCTTCTGCTTCCAAACTGGTAGCAGCCCCAACCCAGAGAGAGAGAGAGCACTTGGCATTCCAGAAACATCCTCAGCCACTCAGCACCATGTGACTGCTGGAGTTGCCACCTACCTGTGGGCCAGATCCATTCCCTTGGTGGGTGCCCACCCATGGGCCAGATCTAATCAGTTGGCAGGCCAGATCTGGCTTGTGGGCTTTATTTTACCCAACCCTGATACAGACTAACTAAATAAGATCTGTGTAGAGCCTAAGCTTTTGTGAACTGGAGAACACTTTGTCAGATTGTGATTTCATCAGATGCTGGAGTTCACAAAAGCTTGGACTCTATATCAATCTTATTTAGGTTGTCTATAAGGTACACATCTACCTTGCTTTCATATGTGTCATACACCTCAAGGCAGATAAATGCCTGTGTAATTGTGGGCTGGTTAGGTAGGATGGCTTTCCTTTGCCTTCTGTCTTAGATTACCTAGGAAGCCAAGGTTTGCTTTGCCTCCCAATCTTTAACATATTTACTCCTTCAACGTTCCTGTTGTGAAGATTTCTGCTTCCTTCTAGCCTAGTCAAGAAAAGGACCTTAAATTACCGGACAATAAAATTAAACATTGCCATCTCCCTATTTGCTATGTTTTGAAAGCCCCTATCTATTGGAGACAAGTGATCTTGTCTCTCATTTAAGTACAGTATTGACCTCCATGCTTGCTTAGACAACACTGAAAATATAGCTTGAGTGTACCCTAACAGTTCAAACACTAGAAAACAAAATCATTATTTTTAAGACCGCTTTATAGTTTCAGTGAGCCTAATTCCTGGTTTTGGAATACTTAGGTTTGGCGTTACTGTATTTAATAGACTTAAAAAAAACGCCAGACTAATGTGGTTTACGCATAAATGTAAAGCTATATCTTACATATCTTACATTTCTTAATACAAAGAATTCATTAAATCATTTCATTCAAATTCATAAAAGGTGTTGTATACCATCAGTACATCCAATTTTTTTTAAAAGGATAGAAATCCCTGACACAACTTAACAATCTGTAGAATTATAGGGCACCTGTACACATGCCTGACGCCTGTGCCAACATGTTCAAATTGGAACGTGTCAAAGCAGGCTCAGTTAATTGAGTTTGTGGGAGCATTTTAATTAGAACACCCCAGAAGCTTTGGTGTCTCATGTATTTAACATCCCCATGGTTTAAAAAGGCAGCAGGGGCGCTTTAATTAAAGCTCATCGAATGAGCGTCCCTACCACCATTTTGAAGTGTGGCACGCTGGATGCACAAGGCACTGTGGACATTTTAATTAGACTGGCTCCTGACAGCTACTGTAATTAAAATGCCTCCCCAGCCCTGGAGTTATGTGTAAAGATACCCATAGTCTTTCACAAGGTTTGCCTACACGGTGAGTAAATGTCCAACAAGGACATTAAAGCTGGGTAAGATTGTAGGAAATGATAAAAATTATATGACAATAGGAAACTGGTCTGATCACTTCAAACCTGGATCATATCGACGCTTTTTAATATTAGGTATACTTTAAAAATGAACAATAGCCAAAATATGTATAAATACTCTCTTAACTTGGGTGCTTTCTAACAAAGTACAGTGGTTGTGAGTGAGTTTATTTTCCCCATTTCTATTTAATGGCACCTTCTTTTGCTCTAGTTCTCCATTTAATGTTTCTATGAAAGCCAACTTTCTTTTCAACTAGAATGACACTTGCAGCTTAGAGTGGTAGTTAGCTGGGTTAGTTGAAGTCAGTCAAAAGGCAGGGTAAATACAAGCCTTTCTAGACTAACTAAATAAGGTATATGCATATAAAGAGCACAGACTTTCATGATCCCAATTTCACTTTATCAGCTGCTGTGGAAGGACATGCAGAAAGCAAAGCATAAGGAGGAGAAAATTAGAATCCAAAAGACAAGAGATAGGGGAGAGAGAGGATGAGGAGTGGGGCAGTGCTGGGGGAGAAAGTCCTTATGCCTTGTAGCTTAGTCATAAGGAAAATACTGCTTTTAGACAAACTGGAATATGAAGCTTCTGTGCTTCTAAACGCTATGGATTGCATTTGTCTCTACCTTTCTGCTGGATAGGAGCATATTCTGAGGCATAAATACTACACTAGATCATGTTGTCACATAACTCTAAAAATAGACTCCAGGACAAAGTTACCCCCTAGATCTCAGCTGAATCTTCTTGTTGTTTTTTTCTTTTAACTAGATCTTTTCAATATCCATTTCAGGTTTTTAAACTGTTACACAATCCACTCCAGGTGCAGACTGTTTGCCATGACTTTTTATTATTGATGAACACCCACATGTCACTCAGCACATGGGTAGTCTCTCACTCTCATTTCTACTCTGGAATGTTTCCTACAGGATAGGTGTGTGGCAACTAATATATAGAGGAATTCTGTGTTTTTAGTTAACACCTGCTTTTATTATTGAAAGCTACAAGCCTAAAATCACAAATTAACCATGGAAACAGCTCTCCGACAGTTCTCCCCCCACTTTATGCTCAGTACAAGAAAAGATATCACAAAAAAGCCTTGCTTCTTGGTCATAAATTCAAAAATTCCAGGTCTGCAGCTACATTTTATCTTCTTGCAACCTGGGCCAAAAAATCAGATAACCAGTAACGGAGGGGGATGACCAGAGCAGCAGCCCCAATCACCGTCTTTGTGGAGTCACAAAACCAGCCATTTCCATAGTGAAGACTGATCATAGTGACAATCAGCAGGAGTGGTGCTGCACCAGGCACTGCGTGACTGCCCTGGTTATGGAGAGGCACTGCTTTGCCTCTGCAGGTAACCTTTGCTACTGCAGACTTGTTTTCTGGGAGTTTGTGGCTCGGAAGTCTTAGAACATAGGGAAAAGAAAAGGAAAGAGTTATAAATGCAGACCCTAAGTACTCTGATACTGCATATCAATAAATATCCATGCCCTTTCATCACTGCACATAGGAGATATGCAACGTATTTATGGAGACTATTTTTTGCTTGTTTGTTCATGTGATTGCTTACATTTCCACTAAATGAGGGTCCAGTTTGACATAGACTGACCCCCGCCCTACCCCATGAGCATAAGGATAGGTTAGAACTCCCTTACACTCCTGTGCAAGGCCTGTAAACCTTAGCTATCAGTCCACAAGAGTAAGTAGGTTTTTTGAACCCTTAGCTACACCCCTGTGCTAACTAACCAGTACAGGCAAGAAACCATGGTGGGGAAGAGAGGAAAGGAAAGGGTTGTAACTTGCTTTTTGAATTTGCTGCTGGCTGCTAGTCCTTCCTAAAACGCGTAGCCGGCAAGGAGGGGCAGGGGGAGTATTGTAGTCAGAAGGTTATTGATGCATAACCCCTTACTGTGCCTGATCCAAAATTTAGCCCTGCAATATTGTCTTTTTTTCTGTCTCTCTTAACTGCTGTTCCTACATTATGCTGCTGTGCAAAGGAAGAGGTAAAAAACAATGGATATTTGCAGAAAGATTGCTATGATGGACTTCTGTAATACTGTGGGCATTTATACACATACTTTTCATGCTGGGATGCGTCACGGCAGGCTCAATTAATCGAGTCTGCTTCTCATGCAAACTGAAGTGCACCGCGCTGCATCGCTTGCAGTTGTATAAGCAGCAAAATGCATGTTAGCACAGAGAAAATGGCAGCGATGCACTTTTGAACTAAAACGCATTCAAGGTGTTTTAGTGGACCGCTGCCATTTTCTGCGTGCTGACACGCATTTTGCTGCTTATACAGCTGCTCACATCTCAGCACCAGGTGCTTTTCAAAGAGCCCAGTGCTGCAGCACCTCCATGTGCAAAAATGCTTTATATTTTTTAAAGCTAAACATAGCAAATTTTTATAAGAAATTTTAGAAGTACATTGTAAAATTATAGCCCCTTATTTCATGCTTGTGTGGCTGTACTCTGCAATGCTTTCTGTTCCACAAATTCTTAGATATACAGGCAACATGCTGCTCCGTAGGTCAGCATCCTAGCAGGCTCTTGGATATCCAGGCTGCTTCATCGGTCAGCATCCTGCTATACTAGACTAAAACCTTCTTTATAGTATAGTATGTATAGAGTATAGTAACTCCTACTCTAATATATGCATGCACTTACCTAGTGATTTCTGACCTTAGCTTTACAAACTCAGTGGGTGCATATATATGTGTGCGTTACTGCAGAGCTGACTAATTGGCTTCGCAGTAAAGTGTCAGTGTCTACATGTGCACTGGTATTAGGGTGCAGTAAATTAACTAACACTGCCATAGGATAGTACCATCTGGGTCAGTACTGCCCTATGGCAGAGTAATTACGTGTGCTGAAATGTATGCGTAGATGGTGATAGAGGCTGGCTGGGGCATGAGGGCTAGGCTTCCTGCCTAGCCCTGCACTTTAGCACCCTTGTGCCTCAGCCAGCCCCCCCACTGCCCAGTGATGCCGCCTGGAGCTGGCCCCCTGGATCCCCTGTCAGCCCAGGATTGCTCCATCCTGGTTCAAACTTTTGCATTCCGAGGTACACATGCAGACACTGCACCCAGGAGCAGCTGACTCTGGTATGAGCTGTGCCAGAGTTTTATCATGTTGCCTTAATGGCACATGTAAATGCACCCAGTGTCTCCTGGTAGTGCTGTTGCTGAAAGGCATCAGAGTCAAGTGAAGTTACCCCATTTCAAAAAGCAATTTCCTCTCCAGTTTTTTAAGATCACAGATAAAGAAAACTAATTTAGCTTCTGAGGTTTAACAGTAAGTAAATAATAGTATTTAAACTTTGGGAGCTCTTAATCACTTTGCTTAACATCTCTACAGGTATCGGAGCCTGAAACATTTCAACTATGATGTCTGCCAAAGCTGTTTCTTTTCTGGCCGGACAGCTAAAGGGCATAAATTACATTACCCAATGGTGGAATATTGTATACCTGTGAGTACTGATTTACTGGCTGTTTCTAACAGTTTTGTGTTCTTTCTGGGCTGCAGTTTCTTGCAGACTTTGATGTGTAGATATTATTTCTGTTTTGGATATATTGGCTACCATATTTTTTGATCATTTTTCTGTGAAATCCAATGGGGGACTTGCTGTTGCTGATTTTATGTAGTAGGCATTCAGATGCTATAAGTATTCAGTATGGAATACTAACATTACATAGACAGGTAACTAGAGATATACTTTTATAAAACAAACTTTCTGTACTAGAGAAAACTGAACTAACTATACATACAGAACGTATTCAGATTTTGGAAGAACGAAAACCTATTCAAGTAAAGGAATGCCTTTCTATTATAATCAAAAACGTGTATACTCATAACTAACCTTAATTTTTTTTTCAAGGTACATGGCTTGTTCAGACCCAATATGTAGTCGGCTTTACCAAAGTCTGGTTGGAAATACCTTGACTATTCTCCAAAATTCATAATATTTGTTTGGATTTTTTAATTAGCTTGTAGCTGAGAAATTAAAACAAAATAGCTACTTTTCTATTGGAAAACACCAAGAAGCAATGTGAGAATTCCCCTTGCAGCTACTAGCAAAATTAATTTCCACAATTTGGCATCTTCCTAATGACTAATTAATCATGAGACTCCAATGGAGACAGTTTCCTAGATATTTTCTGTTAAACTTAAGAAACTGATAAAATAGTACCACTTCTGGTATTTGTTTTTCCTGATTAACTTTTTAATTAATATAATAGCTTATTACGTTTTGCATCTACGTAAAGTCAGCTAAGCCATAAATAAGTGGTTGATTTATAACTTGAATATAAATAATCAAAAACATCTCCCAAAAATGTACAACCCAAAGAACAAAATTTGTCTTTGAATTTACATTCTGTCGTAGTTTATTTCTTTGTTTGGTGTGAGATTCTTAATGGAAGACATAGAGCAAGAATACATTAGATCTATCTGGTTGTTCACGGTGACTGCAGTAGATAGGATTATTAACAACATTTTCTTATTGTTTTGCATGTTCTGCATCTCTGTCAACAGATTTCAAATTATATCAAGTAACATTAATGCGTCATTATAATCAGAAGTATCCATGAGTTGCATAAAATTTCATTTCATTAATTCTGTAAACTAACATTAGGATTTGGTTGGCAGATTAGCACTCCTGATGCTATAGCTTTATAAAAGGAATGAGCTTGAAGAAAGCTTACATTCATGCTATACTATACTTTTGTTGTTACGCCTTGTGTAGTTTTTACAATGTTCAGTAATTACTGTTCTTTTTCTATCCTCTTTTTTTTTCCTTCTCTTATCTTTCGTAGGAGTTAATTAGGTAACTGAGGACTGTATTTTGAAAATTATTTCTGTTATTTCAGAAAGCATGTAGTTCCACATGCAAAACCGGTTAATTTTGCATAGAACTGCAAACCAAGGAAAATTACATGTGCATAATGACAAGTTTTGTGTTTTAATACCCAGACACATTTTTTTAAATCAGCCTTTGAAATTGAAAAATGGAAAATAGAACTACAGCTTTGTCTTTGCCTTTCTTCCCCATATTTTGCCCACATTTGTTAAATATTTTGAAACAATAAATCTTTGCTATTTCATTTCCTACTTTTATTTTTGATGTTGAATGCTAAATTTTTCCAGGTATGAGTTAAGACTATGATAGAGGCTATGAATATTCTCCAGTAATTTCAAATGGAGATGAGATTTTCTATGTACTAATATTTATGCAAATTATAATGGTTACTTGCTCTTTTGCTTTGTAATTTTATGTTCTGAATATAAAGCATGGTTTACATTTAATATTGGTATACCTTCCTTAATAGTTTTAATGAGTTTCCCTGGAATAATATTCCAGGGAATATCTTTTATTCCAATTTAAAGTCTGGAGCTCTGATACGAAAGATTTGTTTGCCAGTATGAAGCAGTTTGAATTAAAGTTGTTATACTTACAAAGAGAGCCCCTTCTGTGCTGTTCTCCAGGCATATGTATACTGTTGGCTTTAGATATTCAATATAGTTTGAAAGGAAGTTTGACCATTTTTGACACAGTTAGGCAAATCTTGGGTAATTTCTTGGTTCCTGTTCTCTCATCTCTGACAAGATCCTTTAACTGTCAGAAAAAAATTGAATTTTTATTTCAGTTGTCATTAGTTTTTTCCTCATCCTAGTTTTGGAAGATGCTGTTAGGACTAGTTTTTCATCCTAAAACAAGCGACTAGAAGCAGAGTCTGTATTTTGCTGTTAGTATGAGCTATTCCTATGTTTTTGAAACAGCTCAGATTAACACCAAATGCATTTTCTGCTGCAGTGTCATATGACAGCTTTCTGTTTCTTGCACACAAAGCAATAGAGTTACATTGTTCCCCAGATTTACATTTGATCTATCATCCATTCACAGAGAGGAATGATTAAAAGAAAAAAGTCTGTGTCAGTTCATATTCTGGCTTGGTGCATCTTTTGCATGCATCCTTATTTACACAAAAGCCTTTTTATTTCTTCTTCCTCCCAGTACTGCTTGGCCACTGAGTAGGAAAGAATCATCGTGTGATTTGTGTGTGCTCTCTGAAGCCCATGTGGCAACCAGAAAAAATTCAAATTGTTGTTTTGTTCTGTAATATTCTTTGCAACTTCAGATTTGCAGAGTGTAAGGCAGAAGGGACCATTAAATCACATAGTCCAGTGGTGCTCAACCTTTTGGACAGTTGAGTGGTGTGGGGCAGTTCTGTGTGTCAGAGTGGGCCCCACCCTGAAGGGTAGGCCCCAAGCCCTGCGCCACCCCAGCATGCTGGGATCAGGCTCCATGTGCCAGGATCAGGACCCTGTACACCCCCTGCCTGGTCTAACTTGCCAGCATAAGCCCCCATTAACTGGCATTGGTTTCTGGGGTCCTGTGCTGCTCTGCATGCTAGGATTGGTCCCTAGGAGCCCACACCTCCCAACATGTGCTCCCTGCCCAGCCCTGCATGCTGTGATTGTGGGATGGGGATCCACACCCTTGCATGCAGAGCCACACTTTCCTGCCCATGGGGCTCTCCACAGGTCCAAAATTTTGGCAGCAGGGGAGCAGCAGGGGATCCTGGCAGATAGAGCCCAATCCAGCCCACAAATCTGTCCCACACCACTCATTTGGCTAAAAGGTTGAGTACCATTGGACTAGATTTTTAAAGGTCTTTTCTGGCCACTCCCCTACTGCCAATTTTTTAGACTCGTAGGGAGGTCTGTGGGCCAGATTGCATGGCACTACGGGTTAGATCTGGCCCCCAGGCTGGGGTTAAGCACCCAGTCTAGTCTCATTTCCTCTATATGCTAGGGCATTAAATGTCATCCTGACACTGACACCAGTAACTTAGGTTTGCCTAAAATATAGCTTCCAGAAAAGGTCTCCATTTGTGGCTGATCTTCCTTGGCCCTCTTAAGCCACTAGTTAGAGGTGAGCTCCAGGGGTCCCTGATTTAATCCCCAGTGCATCAGTGCAGGTGGCATTTTGTCACACCACTCTTCAAATCTGTCTTCTGAGAAATCTTGCTTTTGCTGGGCTTAGTCAAATACGTGGACATACCTGTTGACGTAGCAATAACTTGACTAACACTACATCAACTTGTTTGCATAGTCACCCCATACTAATTATGTTATGTGTTTCCTTCGAGGACCATGATGAAGACTCTAAGCAGCTGTAGGATTCATTTATAAATACACCAGAATTCCTCCCTTTTTGGCTGGGATCCATAAAGTCAAAATGTTTTCAATATGCATTTTCTTCTCTTTGATTGCTAAGTTTTGCTCTACAGAGCAATCATGTTTAAACAGTGTTTGGTTACAGTCTAATTTCCTGCTATCTTATTATCATAGCCTGAATTCTCATCTAGTTTTCATCATGCTGTGCCTCAAATTTGACATTTAAGACATTATTTTTTTTTAACTTTATGGAAAGCAGGGTTTACCATGTCCTCTAAAGAATGCAAGGAAATTTACATTGTTTTGAAGTAAATAAAAATATTGATGCTAGAAAGGATTGAGGGTTAAGGAATTTGTTTTTTTCCATTTGGCTTTTACTTTTGCACGTTTTCTTTTCTTCTTAAATGTCATAGTCAGTGTCAGCTTATTTGCCTCCTTGGCCAATTTAACCAGAAATCATAACAAAATTGATGCATGAAATTGCAGCTGTTTTCCTGTCGAAAGTTTCCTCTTCCCCATTGATATCATGGAAGAGCAATTTCCTTTGTATTTATTGATGTCTAAAATATATGGAAAATTCAAATGTGAGAACATGTGGTTTGTCATGCCAAATGAGGCCACTGGTCCATGTAATAAGATATCCTTCTGGCTGCATTAGTAAAACACACACTGGGGGAAAAAAAGGAAAACCCCATCGTGCACTTCAACTAGGCGTACAGTACTATATGTAGGATGTGATATAACATCCTTTCCTAACCCCTTCAACCTAAAGCAACAAATTTGATATGTGAAAAAACATACTGATTTGGAGGGGGTGTTGAACTGGTTTGCATTATGTAAGAGCTTCCTACTTTTAATTAGTAGCAATAAGAAGAGTATTCATGACTCAGGTGATACGCAGTAATTCTGGTTTGGACCAGGATCAGTTTATGAACCATGTCTCAGGCCTCAAAAGTTTATTTTCTAAAAAGAACAATAATATTAAAAAAAACAGTGGAAAGGGAAGCAATATTCAAGCAAGAATTCAGCTTGAAGTCAGACGCATGCATCCATACTGTGGAAGTTTGGAATTGGATGGGTACAATGGAGAATGAGAGAATAAAAGAAATGAAGAGGTGAGTGCAGAAGGTAAGAAGGAAGATATGAGGAAAGAGAAAGCACTAAGAGGAGAAGAAAGTAGAAGAGTTAGAGTAGAGGAGGGGAAAGGGATGGGCAGGTGATGGGCAACTGAGTTCATAGTCTTCAAACCTCCACTGTAGACACCTGTTCTTTTTCGAAATAGATCTGGGA